TGTACGCTAACAAGTTTTTCTCCATTGGTCTCCTCCTTTCAGTACAACTTTTCTAGACCCACTTCTCCGATGAACAATCTGACCCTTAGTCTCGATACACAAGTATTAATTAATTATTCAAGAGAACATATTATTTCGCAACTCCTTGTAAAATTTTCATCTTTTTCTTTAAGGTGGCATTTTAGACACATCAATCTCATTTTCATATGATATATGGCTCAAAAGTGGTTATATAGTGATATAATACTCAAAACTTGAAATATGAAAGTTTAATGTGATACTTTAAAGAATAATGCTATTTGTAGTTGGCAACTACAATAGTCGCTCTACATGGCATTCTTTGTGGCAGCTTGTTATTTGAAATATTAATTTCCTGTAATTTTGTTGACTCAAATAACGACTAGCATTACTCTATTAAATGTGAGTGTCCTGTTATTGTAATTAAACTAAGGAGCGTCTATTTTTTAATTTTTATCTAAACATGCCTCAACTTCCCCAGCCTCCCCTTTCTTACTTGGTAGACTCGGCTGAAACAGAGTCCCAAGTATCTGAACGAAAGCAACTCAGAGGCACCTAAATTTAGTGGTGGCAATGGGCCGAGCCATTTTTATTTTTTGAGAGTTTTACAAATAAATGAAATAATAGAAAACACTTTTAAAAAAAAATAAAAAAGGTTTAAAAAATACAAATAATTTAATGAAGACAATTTTTTATTTTTTTATTTATATCATATTGTAATATTTTTTATAAAGTATAAAATATTTATATAATAAAGACGAATTATTTTTTGAAATACATTTACAAAAAATATTTTTTATTTCTTTTTAAAGTAGATAAAATGTAAACCCTCCTCCTTTATCCGGGTTTGGGACCGGTTACATCAATTTTAAGTAGGCGGAATTAAAAATTGTACACGAACAACTTGTTGTAACATGCACAATTTTTTAAAGAAAATTAAATTTAACGATTAAAAAATAAAAAAAAATTGATTAATATAATTAAATCAAATATCACTTACCTGACGACATGCAATTACAACGTATTTATCTTGTAGTCGAAAATGAGCGTCCTGTCAATCTTTCATGTACATTAACACTTCCAAAATATCTTCTTTCAGCCGACTCATAACATCGGTCAAAACCCTTTTACCTGCACTAAAAGCAGAGTCCGAAGCAACAGTACTAACCGGAGGTGTCAGCAGATCTTTCGCAATTGCAGAAACAATTAGCCACCGTCTTTCATACTTTTGCCAGAATTCAATTACTTCTTCTGAACTTTTTTTAATTGTTCTGTCTATTGGCATATTATGATTGAAGTGATCAATTAATTCGGCAGGCATCGCATTTTGAGTTTCGGCCAATGTTTGATGAGATGCAAATATAGACGACATGGCACTAGATGAACACATTACAGTTGCATCATATCTAAATGTATTAATCCCTTGAAATAAATTTATTATTTCGACATCATCTTCTTCAATTTCAGCAGAAGAAGTAGGTGCAGAAGGTACCCAACTAACATTCGCACCTATTCTTTCCGCATATAAATCATACATTCCACATAATGTTTGCTCTAGATTCTTATAGGTGATAGGTGTATCAAGTATTAAAGTTTTATTGATTTGATCAATTACGTATTTAAATCTCGAAATATTATATCGGGGGTTCATTGCGCATACTAAAGGAAATAACATAGGCAGTTCTTCCCAATATTTTCTAAACTTTAATTCTATACCAATTATAATTTCACTAAAAGCAGGATCATTTTTATATTTATATAATGTTCTTACAATTATATAAAGGCGTTCAAGCACCATACAACTTGTGGGATAATAAACTCCGGATAAAATCTTTGTGGTCTCATAAGAATATGTCAAAAATCGTTTAACTTTCATAGCTAAAATCCAATCGGATTCATTTAACATACCATTGTCATCACTTCAACGTGTCTATTGTTATAAAAGTCAGTTATTAAATTTTCGAAACCTTCACATGACTTTAATAGCAAGTAAGTAGAGTTCCATCTATGGCCTACATCGCTAACAAATATTTTAATAGTCGTCCCCCCTAGTTCGGCACAAAAATCTTCAAATGTTTGTTTTCTACTAGAAGAGATCGTAATATATACTAATGCAATCCTAATTCTTTGAAGTTCATCATTTATATATTTTAAGTCATCTTGCACAATTAAATTCAAGATATGACACACACAACGAATATAAAACAAATATCCACCAAAATCAGGTTGAAGTGTCTTACACAATTTATCAACGACTACCTTATTAATACTAGCATTATCAAAAGTAAAAGACCGAATTTTAGTCTAGCAATTATATTCTCTAACAATACTGATAATAGCATTATATATATTATTAGCATTGTAAGGAAACTCAATAATTCTAAAAGCAATAATTTTTTTATGCATGCACCAAAGTGGATTTATATAGTGTGTGGTTGCAGCTATATATGCTCTTTTATTTACTCATTCCCATATATCAGAAGTTAAAGTTATAACACTCCCATATTATTGCAAATTCATAATTAATTGTTATTTTGAATTATTGAAATATTGTATTGTATCGGCACGAAGAGTGTTTCGACTTACCCCCAACGTACCTCGATTGCAGATATTCTTTCACGAACGAGACGAAGTGTTGGTTGTCTGCAATAGCCAGAGGCAACTCAGTGGCGGTAACAAATTTCACCATTCCGGTTCGAGTATTGTCCTCCGAATACACCCACGTGGATAGGGGTGAAGTTGTAGAACTGACGTCTGGACTGTCAAATTGCAATTGTGTTTGACCAACTGGAAGAAGTCCATGTCTGGCCGTACATGCTTTATAGTGACGGTTGAGATGAGTGGTACCAATTCCTTTTTACCATGCCAATTTTTGTTGGCAGTATTTACATACTGCTTTAGATTCTGCAAGGTCATCGATGACTTTTTCCCTTGAAATCAACTTAAAGTGATCCCAACATTTTGCTTGTTTTTTAGCCTTTCGCTTTCCCCTCGCATCTGGATGTTTAATTCCTCGTCCTCATGTTCCACTTCGGGAACGTTAATATCATCTAAATCAATTGGATTGGGACTTCCCTGACCGTGAATGTGAACATCTTGAGGCATGGACATGTCATTTAGACCGACAAATTCATTTGAAAATTGACTTTGCGGCGTCCTAGACGATTCATCATTATGTGGCCCACATCCCGTATCGAATAAACTCTCAACAAATGAGCGTTGATCCATTTGTTTGATTGTTTATGATGAAATCTTAACTAGAAGAATATAAATGTAGTGAGATTGTGAGAATTGAGAATTGGATGAATTGAAATTGTAACTAATAAACTGTAAAAATTGAATTGATATTGTATATTTTGCAGCACAAAAGAGTAAATACTCGATAATTGATATAATAAAAGAGAGTTGAGAAAGTTGGAGACTTAGAGTAGATTGAGTAATTGATATGAAAAAAAAATGGGGGTTAAGGGGTATCTATAAATTATAAATTGGAAAAGAAGGCTTCTTTTTAATGGAAGAGATACATTAAAAAATTGATTTCTAAACAAGACTTTAAACCAACAAGTTTAGATGTCGGGGTTATCACTTTGACTAGTTATAAAAATAAAAATAAAAAGAAATAAATCTTTCGATAAATTGGCCTTAAAATTTTGAACTTGAATATGAAAAGGCAATAAAGTATTTGGTTGTAGGTGACTCTACTTCAAGCATCTAAAGTCACCAGGAATATTATGTCCTCGATTACAATTAGCTTTGTAGCTTTATTTTGTGATGATTTCAACCACATGAGCCATCTAATTAATCATTGTTTAACAATAAATAATTCATTCATGCTTTCTAATGCACTGCTTAACTCGCATGGCAAATCACCCAGAGTTAATTTTCCCTCATCTCCTTTTTATCTTTCCCTCATCTCCTTTTTATCTATGAAAAGTGTCAAAAAGTACGAGCAAAATCTACCAACAATAGATTTTCTTGAGCTGTATTAATTATCATGTGCCTTAGCAATATGCAATCAACTGAAAAAGAAGAAGATGGACAATATAGAAAGAAGGAATTGTGTGCACTGTAATGTGTGGTGCTATTTACCTGACAATTTGGAGAAATATGATGCTCACTTCTTACCAAAGTTTATGTCAATGAACCTTGATTATGTGGTTCATAACATCATACTTCTGGACCTTGTTTTAAGTATGTCCTCCTAAAAAATTATTGTATACATAGAGTCCTAATGAATCTTTATAATATTTAATGTCTAAGAATGATAGGATTGGGTGGATGTAGCCATCAAACAACAAGAAACATAATTGGATTTATTAGTATGTGTACTTTGTACATATAGGACGTTGTGTCTACTAGAATATCTTAACATCAAATATCCTTTTCCCCGAAGAAAATTAAGTAAAAAAGGAAAACTAGCTCGTCTTGGCATTGTTTTTCTAATAAAAGGAATCCTTTGTTTGTATGTATCAGTCGAAAAATCAAAAGAAGCTTCTTTATTGACTTCTAAGCCAAGTTAAACATGCTAAATCCATCACAGTTGAGCCAAAGGTGAGAGCGCTACCGACCTATTTCCTAAGTGCGGCGAATCTTTCTTATCAATCCCGGTTCAACCTAGCACGGCCAATACTAATTCGACCTTCGTTTACTATATTTATATATTTCAATCTTACTTTAAGTTAGTTGAACATGTTCGTTCCACTTCAACCACAATTGGAAAGCATGCCACCTAATATAATCGTAAAAGGAAATTAAAGCTGATCTATGTAACATCATGATCATATTTAATTAGCTTAAAAAACAAACTGAATGTTCCCCATAAGAGTTCCAGTCTTCCTCATCCAGTAGGACCGCAACTTTTGAAACATAATTTATAATTTAATCCCTAGACATAATCATGATTAGTGTGATCTACTGTTTAATTGCATAAATGATTTTTTGTGCTTACATTATACTTCAAAACTCATTGTGAACCATTAACAATGCAAAGATCAAAAGAAGTAAAGAAACACAAGTTTCAACTTAGAGGATGCAAGGCATTGTGCTGTAGTTGCAGACTCAGTGTATCTTCTTCCTCTGAAGAAGCTGAAAGCTCGAATTCTGTCAGATTTCCAGCTATCTCCAGCATTGCACATGCCATGGTTCAAGAAAGATTAGATCAAATGATCAGAGAAAGACGGGAGGCAAGAAACGAAGAGAGAAGAAGGATAAGACATCGAGAAACTAAGTTCGTTGTTATGGTAGCGATGGAGAAATCCTCTTATGATCCCAGAGAGGATTTTAGAGAGTCCATGGAGCAGATGATAATTGTTAATCGTATTCGTGATGCTAAGGATCTTCGCAGCCTCTTAGATTATTATTTGACAATGAATTCAGAGGAATATCGGGGCATCATACTCGAGGTATTCCATGAAGTTTGTACGAATTTATTTCTCTATTGTAAGTGAGTAATTATTCATCCAAGTAGATATTCTTGTTTAATAAGCCTGATAAAACATTTAATTCTGTTGAACTGGTTATAGCCAGAACAGTGTATTCACCTGTTAGGTTAGATCTAGATATTCAGACAAACAAAAGATCTACCAGTTAAATTTGTCTGGAAAAATATGTATGATATAATTCTATCATAAGACTGGTCGAAAGGAGACTGAAGGCTTTGTTCGGAAATGAATTTTATCATTCTATCTCTATATTGCTATATATCTAAATCCCCAACCAAGACATTTATGTAATGGTCTTTGCAACAGAGGGAGCTTTGTCCCCTACAGATGTAAGCAAACCTTTTAAGGGCATCAGATCAATCTTTTGCCCCAGAAATTCGACAGTTTCCACAAATACAAGGGAATCTGTCAACTGGGAAGTGCCAATAACGCAGTCTTCAAATTTATTCTGCAAGTCAGTATTGGAAAACTAAGAACTTGATAAATATTTGGTTATCAGTTGATAAATCAGAATCTTTGAAACATATAAACCTCATTATAGCTATTTCACTATCGAAGCAGCTAATTAATCGATCATCATGAGACTTTTCTATAAACTGTAGAAGATAAAGGAAATGTCGAACAATATTAGCATGCTTTTTACTAGGAATATGAAGAACCTGCACGCATTTGGGACTTCGAACTTCAATGGCATTGCTGCTTATTTTCAAGGCTCACCAACGGCAGTTTTGTTCCGCTTGAAAACAAAGGAAATAAACCCACAATGATGTGTACCTGCAGCGCCTCAAGTAAAAAATTAAATTAAGTGTATCAAGTTGTCTGGTCTTTCTTTTTGTTGAGACTAAGACATTTGCAAAAATCCTGAATGTATGATTCAGTTAAAGGTAAATAGCACAAAATGTCCATACCTTTCAATGTCACTGTACAAAATGTCTCTATCTTTCATTTTTTGACATTTTCACCCTTATATCCACCAATAAAAAGATGATTTTACCCTCCAAGTCAAACAAAACAAAATGAAATGAAATGGGAGGGTAGCCCACTCACAGGTACTCGGTCATAAACCTCTTTGCTCTTTTTGAACGCCCCTTGCGACTCTATGTCATATCCACCCTTCGTTCCTCACTCATCCAAGTCAACTCAACGCACTCATTCTTCTTGATGTCAAAGATGTTGGGCGCGGAAGCTCGAATAACACATGTTGATCCCAAACCGAATTATAAAGAATGAGATTTAATGACAATATTGAAATAAACAAGATCACACCACGAAAACAAGATTTAAAGTAAAGAAGAACAAAAAGGGTTAATCCCAGAGGAACGATGTTTATTAATGAACAATATGGAGAAAATAAGTACAACTTAGCAAAATTGCTTCTCACAAAACGGAAAGAGGAGCCTCATATTTATAGAGAAAAATACATTCATAGAAGTAGAGTTGTAAATGAAATAAAATGTCTAAACGTTTTCTTATTTGAACTCTTCAAGCCTAACTCAAATTCCAACTCTCAATGGGCTTCAAAATAGAACTTTAAATAGAATTTGACAATTAAACTTGAATAGAATTCCTCAAAACATTCTAACTAGAATTCCTCTTTATGCGCATTTCAATTAGAATTATACAATTATTTCACCAAAACAATTTGGGTCACCCCAAAATTTTAACAAAAGAGCCACGCTGTGTTCAAAGCGTTTTTGCTCTTGTCATGCCCTCCAGCAATCAAGACTTTTCCTTCCACAGCCCCCATGGCTAAGAATGATCGAGTTGAGGGCATATTAGCACACCAAACCCACGTCAGAGTCGTGAAACCGTGCACAAACATGTCATTAACCAGGTCCCAATTCGATGGGTTCCATCCTTCCATCACAATAAGCTTTCCTTCAGTATTGGCAACTTAGCAGATCAAAGGCAACCTATTTGGTTTCTTGGGTATCGATTAAACCCAGTCCCAACACCGAAACATCGGATCAAACACTGAAATCTCATACCTGGGTTGATCTACCAGCTTGGACTCTGAATCATGAACTGGTATTGCTTGAACTAGGCATGCTACTTTTCGAATAAACCCAGTTTGCTTCCAATGGTAATAGAAACCCCTACTTCGAATAAGCTCACACCAACATCTGCATACAAGAGATGAATTTGGGTGTCCTGAGTAGTGCAATCAAGTCAAGCACTCCAGAGTGAATTCTTCAGGTAATTCTCGGATTAATCCTTGTTCATTCATACTATCAATTTTGATAACTGATTGAAGAATTTTTATATGGAAAAGTGCAGGGGCTTCGAACAAGAAGATGAATGATTTTTATTTTTGAGGCATTTTCAAAAATGTCCAATTTTAAAGCTATGAGTTGAAAAGTGTCCACTCATTTGAATTTAGTGTAGAAGAAGGATGGTTATACTGATTCGGTGAGATGCCTCCCTTCTTCTTGTCAGATCGATAGGACTAGTATAAGGGTCCGGGATTGCTGAATCAAAGACAAAAAAAAGAATCAATTTTAAAATAGACCTACGGTAGCTTAAGAGACTTTCTCAATAGTATAAGTGGACCTCTCAAAGGTATAAGTAGACATTAGTCTAGCTGGTTCGGTCGAGAGGGATAATCAACTCCGCAAATATCGATCAGGGTCACAATTTGTATCGATTAAACAAATTGTTGGAATTCCCAAAGTGATACACTCTCGCAGGGCCGTATATTCTTCGTGCACCAAGAGAGCTTTATTCGGCCTTTGTATGACCGTCTTCCTCTTCCCTTCCTGTCTATCTCTGCCCTTAATGAAAATTTACATTTTGAAATAGTATTTTCGACATTTTAAATGTCGTTCTCGACATTTGATTTTTTTATCAATTTGTCACGAATTTTGAGAAGTGGCTTCCATGAAAAGTTACATTAAAATAAATTTGA